TTTTTGTCTCTATATATATATATATATATATATATATATATATATATATATTGTATATATATATATATCCCCTGACAAAATAGTATGGTGTCCCTAGAGTAAAGTCCACAAAGTGTCCACTCCACAAAGTGTCACAAATTTTCTTTGTGCCAACATAAGCAATACTGAGTTTGTATTCTGGAAAAACACAAAGCACTGGATGGTATGTGTGTGTTTGTGTATGTTACCACAGAGTTTGTGAGTTATGTTAGAATGAACTGATAGAAACAGCACATAGAAGGCAGAAATATACATCAGAGTGTTCAGTCAGACAGCAGGTAAAAGTGCTCTCTATCTCTCTCGCCAACCAAACAGAACAACACATCAAATATTAATCCCTCCCTCCAGCAACAGCTTTATAAACACTATCCAGTTTAATCCCACCTGCTGTGCATCTCTGAATGCACAGGAAGATACAGACAAGATATAGTCCTCAATTGGCTCTGAACTGCAACTCCAAGTGTAATAAGTGTATCAATGTAGAGAAGAGTAGAAAAAATATCAAAAAATTCTTGAGATGCTTTTATCTAATTTATCTCATATATTAGATGCTTTAAGCAAAGTCAGTAAGTTTCAGTCCAATGCGATAACATTAACATTAAGAAAATTCTCTACAGGAACACAATACGAGGTTTAACCAAGTGACCAACTAGATGTATGAAGTTAGCTCTCCTCAAGTTCACACAGGTGTCCTCTCAGAGTAACCACAGGTGTTGAACATCACATTAAGTATGAAAATGATAGAAAGTGTAAAAAGACAAGAAAGTGTCCAAATACTTTTTTTTTTGTTTTTACTGTTTTATCATTTAAAACTTAATAAACTTATTTTCTGTGAAATGTTTCACTTGAAAAATGTAGTAGTATAAAATAAATAACTGGTTTGAAATGTTTTTTATATAATGCAGTTACATTCATAGATCTGTGTGGCCACTGTACTGTATATGACACCATGAAGGGCATAATAATTAATCAAGATGTTTACTCTAGCTAGCCGATGTTACAAAACCCCTCTGATTGATGTATAAGCTTTAGTCTGGACTGACGGTGTCAAGATCAGAGATTAGGAGTGTATGTTTTAAGTGTACGGGTTAAGGAAAGGGCAGTTGGGTAAGAATGGTTTGTTACTACTACTGCTGAAAGGAGGCTCGAGTTACTAGTGGCACAGTCAGCCAGTGGAAGTGAGATAATTCTCTCCTCCTTCTCACAAATTGAGTTCTTCTCAAACAGATCATCTGTCTTAGCCTGGAAACCTAATCTACAAATGCACTAAGAGCACACACACACGCACACACACACACACACACACACACACACACACACACACACACATGCACACACACATGCACACACAAAGGTACTAGCTGTCTAAGGACATTAAAATAAGTCTGATTGAAAACACATACTTGCATGTACAGTATAGGAATTTGAGTCCTCATTTGTGTATAGGTATACATTCCAATAAACATGTATTAATTGCTGCTGCATAATGAGAGCTTCTCTGTCTGCTTCAAGACTCACACACACACACACACACACACACACACACACACACACTAATGACCTGTGGCAGTAATAAGCTGAGTGCCACAATAAATAAGATGTGAGTTTCTCCCCTTACAGGTTATTGTATGTGTGTAAGTGAAAGAGAGAGGACTAATGTCACCCTCTAGTGACCGTACTCTGGCATAGTGCATGGAAATGAGCTATGTGCCAAATTTGATTTTATTTGGCCATTTAATATAAATGTAATACAAAATTATTTAACCACATTTAAAGTAATTTAATATTTGACACTACACTCTAAAAAAAGCTGGTTATTTAAAGGTTCTTTACATGTAGTAACGGTTCTATTTAGAACCATAGCATCCTGAAGAACCCTTTTATGCTGAAATGGTTCTTTGTGTTAGAGTTTAGGCTCAGCTATCCAACTAAACTGACTGCCAACACACTCTCAACAGGTAAATGATTTCTTCCTTAAATTTAAATACAAATTTAACTTTAAAATTGTATCTGGTTTCCAAACAAACCTGTTATTTTCTCTTTTTAGTTTTGTTGGTCACATGTAGGCTAAGTGTGAGCAGCTCTGTTAAGCTGTGGGAACGTCTCTCCTCTTCTCCACTAAAGTAGGTAACAGAGATATTGAATTTATAATACATATTGATAGAATTTTTTAAATTATAACTTGGGTTTATTCAAAAACATACCCAGTCTGAAGATATTTCACAAGAACTTGGTCCTCATTACACTATTTTCTTCTATTTTATGTTTTACTTCTTTAAGTCTTTATTTATGTTCAGTGTCAGTTGCCATTTATTAATATATTCCGCTAATAACTGTTGTTAGAGCACTGTCATTTTTGCTACAATTTCGCGCCATTAAAAAAAATAAATAAAAGTGCCTAATTGAAACTACATGTTGTTGTTGTTGTTTTTTGTAAACCCCTAATAGAGGCTATAAGATATTATAAGACCAGGCAGATAGAGGGGTAAGAAAAACAATATTAATAATTAATATATACAAATTATATTAATAATACTAATATTAATTATATGAATATACTAATATTAATGAAAACAAACTATAATTAAAAAGGTTATTTATGACACCATTAGGGTCCAATATAACATTTTAAAAGCATGGTTCTTTCTGGAACCCTATAAAAAGCATTCTGTTTTGCACCAAAAAGAGTTCTGCTATTGTTACTGCAGGTAAAGTCTCTAACGCTCAACACCCAAGCTTCACTTACATGATCAAAAAATGATTCTAATACAGGTGCATCTCAATAAATTAGAATGTCGTGGAAAAGTTCATTTATTTCAGTAATTCAACTCAAATTGTGAAACTTGTGTATTAAATAAATTCAATGCACACAGACTGAAGTAGTTTAAGTCTTTGGTTCTTTTAATTGTGATGATTTTGGCTCACATTTAACAAAAACCCACCAATTCACTATCTCAACAAACTTTTCCACGACATTCTAATTTATTGAGATGCACCTGTATGCTGATCTGGTGCTCAAGAAACATTACTTTTATATTTTTATCAATGTTGAAAACAGTTGTGCTACTTAATATTGTTGTGGAAACGGATACCTTTTTTTTTTTTTTTTTTTTTTTTTCGTGGTTTGCAACCAGGGTATTGTCTACCCCAAACGCACACATAGACGCACACACATACGGGTCCCCTCCCCTCATCGTGCAAAGCAGTCTGCTTGGCGATGCCCTCTGTGCCATCTTGATGAATAGAAAGAACAGCATCTATTTGAAAGAAAAAGTCATTTGTAACATAACATTATACTGTCACCTTTGATTTAATTCTTCCCTGCTGAATACAAAAATTAATTTCTTCCTAAAAATGAATTTTGACCCCAAACTTTTAAACAGTAGTAAATAAATAAAACGGATAATCTATATTCTATCTATCATCTATCGGGACACAATAAGGACAAAAAGTTGTCAGTATAGCCAATGGCACAGTAAATTATATATATATATATATCTGAACAAATTTGTTTTAGTTGTTCAAGTCTTGCTGTATACTAGTCATATTTTCTTAAGATTTCCATAAACTGTAACGCAACGCAACTTACATGATGAGCGTTTTTATACAGTTTTTTAATGCTCCATTTCTGAAACACTATAATTCATAATCACTACATACACACATTCTAATGTAGTAATGCAGACAACTCACAATTACTTCTGTAGACATTTGCTTTTATTCATATTTACTTCTTTTAAAAAGCCAAGAGCTCTTGATTTGCAGTACTCTACAGTCACATTTCTGACACAAAATTACAACTCATTTAAAATCTCTCTGTAGAAAAAAACATTGTCTGGTTCAAGCACAATGACAAGCTACATTCACAACATTCACATCATAAATAGAGAAATAATACATAAAGGTGCGCACACACACACACATACATACACCCTCCTGGTGGCTTCTTATTTGATGAAGACTCATCCCCAAATTAAACTGAATATTGTAGTCCCTTACAGAATGAGTAAAAAAAAAAGCATATTAAGGCCTCTTTCATATCTTGTATTGCTCCTGGAGGAAAACACTGAGTCCGCAAATGCCTAAAGAGAGAATACTTTATATTCTCCTGGAGATGGACCTTATTCACATTTCAAAAGCCTTGGTTTGGTATACTTCTATAGCTGTTAATGGAAAATACAACAAATATATATTTGTTGTGTGTTCCCATTTGCTCCAACAACAAAGGAAATAATCTATGATAGAATTTTTATGACTTTCCTAAAGAGGAAAAAATATTGAGAGATTGATTATGTTGGTCAGAAGAGAGGAAGGTGTCAAATTTACTGTCACTCCCTCAGCTGTTATATTAGAAACATCCTCACAGCAGTGTTAACTAGTCTACCAAGGTAATATAACACAAAGTAAAAGAAATAATAAAAAAACTTGATGTTATAACTGTGGAAATACACCATTACGGTCTGTGAAAAGGGTCCTTTTTTTATGGGGTTTACAACTCCTGGCCACCAGGGGGCAGTCATACAATCTTCTCTGTAATGGTGAGGGGTTTTGGAAGGGGCACAATCACGCATTAGTGTAAAACTAAGCCCTTCCCATGTGCATATTCTGTTGAAAATCAACAAATCAAGCAAAGCAGAGACATATCTTGAAGGAACGTATCTGTTCGAAATAGTAAACAATCCATTGAACAATCCAAGCATCATTTACACAGTTGACCTACATTGTCCTTCAGCAAGATGACCTCTTGTTTAAATTAGTAGTAATTAGTTTGAAATTAAGTAAAACATTGAACTCATGTTAATAAATTAAATAAGGGATGGGGATTGTTTGAGTCGTGGTGACAGTCTGTAGAGCCGGATGGCTCCAGTTACACAGTGCATAGAGTCCTACAGTATCAGTCTGGAGACTGACTCGTACACACACTCGCACACGCACACGCACACGCACACAGTCCTGCTCATTCTAGAGAGGTAGTAGTTAATGTTTCTCTGTCTGTCTCTGTCCATTTCAGTTTGTTAAATCCATCCCCAGAGCAGCAGCATCTTTCAAGGGGAGTGATGGATGGAGAAGCCCTTACTGTGAAGCTCAATCCGGGCTTGGATTAAACTTTCATCCCGGGCTTCATTCCAATTCGTAGGCCACGACCATAATTCAGTTCCGGTATGTGTTTGGCCTTGGTTAAAAGGCCTGGGATAAAGTCCCATGGTCCTCCAAGCATGTAGACCCTGACCAAGATTTAGTTCAACAGCAGCAAAAGTGTTGATTTTATCAAAGGTTTGTCCGTTTCATTCTTAATCACATGCGTGAAGAGGCCGCAGATTCATAGAACAGCACATATGCGTCGCTGCTGCGCACCTGGCTGGATGACATGGGGCTCACCCTGAAATACAGACAGAAATGAGATGTAAGCTAAACAATGGCTCAGCATCAGCATCTACAAACACGTACATTAACACCTAAGAAAAAATAGCACTGACTACTAAACAATATATACTAAAATATTGTAAATATACAATTTAGTAAGATTTTTTGTTGAAGAAATTAACACAATTAATACATTTATTTTGCAAGGATGCATTAAATTGATTAGTGACAGTAAATACATTTATAATGCTACAAAAGATTTCTCTTTCAAATAAATGCTGTTCTTTTGAATTTCCTATTCATCAAAGAATTTTGACAAAAATGTATCATGGTTTCCACAAAAATATTAAGCAGCACATCTGTTTTCAACATGACAATAATTAATGCTTCTTGAGCTCCAAATCAGCAAATTAGAACGATTTCTGAAGGATCATGTGACACTGAAGACTGGAGTAATGACAGTAGAAAATTCAGCTTTGTATCACAAGAATAAATTACATTTTAAAATACATTAAAATTGAAAAAAAAAAATTTGTAGTTATTTTGTAGTAGAAGTTATTTTAAATTGTAATTCACTTGTCAATTCACTATAGTACTGTTTTACTATAATTGTAATCAAATATATATTAATAAAATGTTACACAAAAAAATACAATATTAAAATTATATATATACACATATATATATATATATTCACAAATTTATATATAAAATGAACCAAAAGGCTGAAGACCCCAATCTAAAACTTCTAAGATGACTTAAATGTCCAACTACTATTTGGAGACACTGTACATACTAACGACATTATAGCCATTGATGTTATAAACTAAGATGTAAACTGTAGTGCAAACACTTATTAGTGTTTTAATATTCCTCCAATATTAATATTTAATAACTTTTTGTTTTAATACTTATTTGCTATGTCTATTTACCTGGAGTCGTTGTATGTGTACCATTCTCCTACGCAGGGATTGCGGCAATATGCTGTGTAATGGCCACCTAAAGATGAACCAGTGTGATTGGACACAGCATACAGATTATAGACTGCATTTACTGTGAGGAGAGAACAGAAAAAAGAGAAGAAAAACAACAGCAATTAAACACAATTATCCTGGAGCTACAGTAAAAACCACATTGCTCAAACTACTGTACAGAATACAGATGTAATGAATGACCCAGCAGAACTTACCACTGTTATCAGAGGCAAATTCCCTGAGGTCCAGCTCTTTGAGGGGGAAGTTTACAAAGGTGGAGAGTTTGCTGGTTCTGACTCGACACTCAGAGAAACGCTTCAGATCTGAGAAAGTTAGAGAGTCAAGGGCAATCACATACAAACAGCATTTTTTTTTCCAAATCCATAACTTATGTTACATATTTAACTGATCGATACACAATGGTAAATAAGATTTAATTTGAATATACATGCAATTCTTTGGATGACAGATTTGTTTAAAAAGGATACGAAGCACCAAGATTTTAGGAAATTTCTGAATGGTGAATTTCTTTGTGCATTTCCGTCTGGTTTTACATCTGTGGCATGTCTGCATGTAAAAGAGAGGTGGTTAGGATATAACTTAACATTATATTATTATTCATCGATTTAGATAGATAGATAGATAGATAGACAGACAGACAGACAGACATATAGATAGATGATAGATAGACAGACACACAGACAGACAGACAGACAGACATATAGATAGATGATAGATAGACAGACAGACAGACAGACACACAGACATATAGATAGATGATAGATAGACACAGACAGACAGACATATAGATAGATGATAGATAGACAGACACACAGACAGACAGACAGACAGACATATAGATAGATGATAGATAGACACACACACAAAA